GTGAGCGTGCGATTGGCCGATTTGCCCATTGCTCTACCCTTTTGTTTTACAGACCCGTGCTCTGACTGCTGGAGAAGGTGTTGAGCAGTGGGGGGGCGGTGGTGCCTGGGGGTCACTGTACAGTGGGGAGTAATGGGCCTAAACCCGGTCGGAGATTCCGAGCATCCGAAGGTGGTCCGGGCTCGGTTGCATAGGGGTCGCTCTGCGATTTCCCCTGTCCGAGCCTGGTTTCCCGCCAAAATCCATCCACTCCGTGGCCAAAGAAGACCAGTTACCCCTGCTATGGAACAGGGCCCTCCTTCCCCCCCCCCTCCTCTACTCCCCCCTCCCTCTCTGCTGCCACACACCTCCACGGCCCTGCCCTGCCCCTCATTCGCTCCCTCCCTTGTCGCCCATCTCCAACCCCCCAACCCCCCTCCGGGTGTGGCATGGCATGGCATGGCATGGCATGGCATGGCATGGCACGGCACGGCACGGCACGGCAGGGGTCATCGGAGGAGTACATAGAGGCCAACATCCAGCTCGCCCTGGCGCTCGTGCGCCGGCTGCACGGCGCCACCGCCACCACCGCCAAGATCGTGAGCCCTCAGCCCTGCCCTGCCCTGCCCTGCCCTGCCCTGCCCTGCCCTGCCCTGCCCTGCCCGCCCTGCCCGCCCTGCCCGCCCTGCCCGCCCTGCCCTGCCCTGCCCTGCCCTGCCCTGCCCTGCCCTGCCCTGCCCTGCCCTGCCCTGCCCTGCCCTGCCCTGCCCTGCCCTGCCCTGCCCTGCCCTGCCCTGCCCTGCCCTGCCCGCCCGCCCGCCTGCACGCCCTGCCCTGCCATGTGCGCCGCTGCCGCTCCATCCCCCCTGCGTCTCCCATCCTCTGCACCTCGTCCCCCTTGTGCCTGTATCCCCCAGCTCACTCCTCTCCGCTCATCTCCCCAACTCCCCTCTCCGCTCGTTCCCCGTGGCCCCTCAGGTGCTTCCCGACGGGCCAGAGAAGCGCCGCTGCTCCCGCCGCTTCAAAGCTGCTCTGGACATGGTGAGATGAAACGACATGGCAGGGTGAGATGAAACGACATGGCAGGGTGAGATGAAACGACATGGCAGGGTGAGATGAAACGACATGGTGAGATGAAACGGCAAGGCGAGATGAAACGGCATGGCGAGATGAAACGGCATGGTGAGATGAAACGACATGGTGAGATGAAACGGCATGGTGAGATGAAACGGCATGGCGAGATGAAACGACATGGTGAGATGAAACGGCATGGCGAGATGAAACGACATGGTGAGATGAAATGGCATGATCAGAGGAGTGTAGATGAAGTGCGGTGCAGTGCAGGTGGAGCATACGGAAACGAAAGAACGCAATCAGCTGCAGAGCCATCCAGATTCAGTAGTGACAGGCCATGCCATGCCATGCCATGTGATGTTGAGTCGTGACTCACTCCTCTCATCACGCGTGCGGTTTGGGGCCCATGCAGACGGACGGGGTGTCGCTGGGGTGTTTGGAGGACGACCCTGTGGCAGCACCGGGGCAGGCGGGCGCACCGCAACCACGCAGCGCGGGTGGACGAGGAGAGGGCGGGTTCTTGTCGGCGCTGAAGAACGCGCTGGACCTTGACTTCGGGGGGCAGGAGACCGGTGCGCGCACGCGTGCACGGGTGCTGGGGACAGTGGGGCAGAAGGGGGGGGGGGGGGAGGAGGGAGGAATGGTGTGGGGTGGGAGAGGGATAAGAACATGCTGTTCGTGCGCCTTTTTTTTCACCTACTCCTCTCCCGGCCCTGCAACCCTGCACCCCCCTTCCACGACCCTCTTGCTGTTGCACTCTCTTCCCTCTGCCCGCCCTGCCTTACTCTCGTTGCCTCGTCTATTGTAAAGGCTGTGAGCTGCGTTGCGCCCACTGTCCCTTCCGCTCTCTCCCTCGCCCTTCAACTCCCACCTCCTCTCCACACTTGAATCGCCATCCGCTTGCCCTCTTCCCCGTGGCGGGCATGGCAGGCGAGTGGGCAGCAGCAACGCCATCGGATCTGTACATCATCGCCAACGCCAGCTGCCAGGAGCTGCCCGCCGTTCAGGCCTACCTCGTCAGTGCTGCTGCTCTCCCCCCCTCGCCCCTCTCCCTTCACCCCTCGCCCCTCCCCCCTCGCCCCTCCCCATTCCCCTCTCCACCTCCTCTCTCCACCCTCCCATCCACGTACCCAGCAACTCCCGCTCACCCCCACTCTTGTGGTGGGCTGCCAACCCATGCGCTGCTCTTTGCACCCCCTGCACATGTGCTGCTCTTTGCACCCCCTGCACATGCGTCCGCCGTGTTAGACCAGCCCGCCACTGCATCCACCACGGACACATCTGAGTCACCTTTTGACAATGTCACACGCTTCTTTTTCTACATGGGGAATCATTGGTGCGTGGAGGTTACCAAAACGAGTGGCCAAATTGTTAATTCCTGCTTATAGGTGCTGATTCCTGTAGAGTGAAGTTCCACTTTTCCATCTACTGTCCGCCTACCACTGCAGCCTTGTAAAGGGATGCCTCGCAAGGAGGCCTCACGTTTGGCATCTAGCTGCTCGCTTCTTCGCTCTCCTCAATGCTCATCTCACTCCCCACCCACCCTCCATGCCCCTCGGTCACCCCACTGCTACCCTCCCCCACCTCCCCCCGGCAGGAGAAGCTCCCCCCCGCCACGCCGGTGCTGCTTTTCAACCTGGAGCTCGACACGCTCAGGTGATTGCAACAGAGCTCGACACACTCAGGTGATTGCAACAGAGCTCGACACACTCAGGTGATTACAACAGAGCTCGACATGCTCAGGTGATTACAACAGAGATCGACACACTCAGGTGATTACAACAGAGCTTGACATGCTCAGGTGATTACAACAGAGCTTGACACACTCAGGTGATTACAACAGAGCTTGACACGCTCAGGTGATTGCAACAGAGCTTGACACGCTCGGGTGATTGCAACACTGGCAGTTTGAATGGACTTACATGTGTATGTGTCTCCACTGCACCCTTCTCCACTGCACCCTTCTCCACTGCACCCTTCTCCACTGCTGCCTCTTTTCCGCCCCAGCTACCCTCTTTGCATCCATTGCCCCCTCTCTGTCCCCTGATCCCCTGCTCCCCCTGCCCTCCCTCACCCCTGCGCCCCCTCCTCCCCCCCCATCAGGGCGGACCTGGGGCTGCTGGGCTTCCCCCCCAAGGACCTGCACTACCGCTTCCTGTCCACCTTCCGCCCCGTCTTCTACCTGCGCCCGCGCGACTACTCCAAGGTGCGCGACTACTCCAAGGTGTGCGTGCGGCAAATGCTGCAAGGTGCTGCAAGGTGCGCGTTCAAATGACCGATAGCGTCACTGCCCCACTTGGTCATCCCTGCTCCCCCTCACACTCCAAGGTGCTCCCCCTCACACTCCAAGGTGCTCCCCCTCACACTCCAAGGTGCTCCCCCTCACACTCCAAGGTGCTCCCCCTCACACTCCAAGGTGCTCCCTGCGTTATCATGCCTCTCATTGCTCTCCTACCTTCCGCCCACTGCATGCCTCACACCACCCACTGCATGCCTCACACCACCCACTGCATGCCTCACACCACCCACTGCATGCCTCACACCACCCACTTGCATGCCTCACACCACCCACTGCATGCCTCACACCACCCACTGCATGCCTCACACCACCCACTGCATGCCTCACACCACCCACTGCATGCCTCACACCACCCACTGCATGCCTCACACCACCCACTGCATGCCTCACACCACCCACTGCATGCCTCACACCACCCACTGCATGCCTCACACCACCCACTGCATGCCTCACACCACCCACTGCATGCCTCACACCACCCACTGCATGCCTCACACCACCCACTGCATGCCTCCACACACCCACTGCATGCCTCACACCACCCACTGCATGCCTCACACCACCCACTGCATGCCTCACACCACCCACTGCATGCCTCACACCACCCACTGCATGCCTCACACCACCCACTGCATGCCTCACACCACCCACTGCATGCCTCACACCACCCACTGCATGCCTCACACCACCCACTGCATGCTCACACACCCTGCATGCCTCACACCACCCACTGCATGCCTCACACCACCCACTGCCATGCCTCACACCACCCACTGCATGCCTCACACCACCCACTGCATGCCTCACACCACCCACTGCATGCCTCACACCACCCACTGCATGCCTCACACCACCCACTGCATGCCTCACACCACCCACTGCATGCCTCACACCACCCACTGCATGCCTCACACCACCCACTGCCATCCCCCGGTCTACCTTCCTCTTGTGCCTTTGGTCCCAACCTTCTCTTGTGCCTTTGGTCCCAACCTTCTCTTGTGCCTTTGGTCCCAACCTTCTCTTGTGCCTTTGGTCCCAACCTTCTCTTGTGCCTTTGGTCCCAACCTTCTCTTGTGCCTTTGGTCCCAACCTTCTCTTGTGCCTTTGGTCCCAACCTTCTCTTGTGCCTTTGGTCCCAACCTTCTCTTGTGCCTTTGGTCCCAACCTTCTCTTGTGCCTTTGGTCCCAACCTTCTCTTGTGCCTTTGGTCCCAACCTTCTCTTGTGCCTTTGGTCCCAACCTTCTCTTGTGCCTTTGGTCCCAACCTTCTCTTGTGCCTTTGGTCCCAACCTTCTCTTGTGCCTTTGGTCCCAACCTTCTCTTGTGCCTTTGGTCCCAACCTTCTCTTGTGCCTTTGGTCCCAACCTTCTCTTGTGCCTTTGGTCCCAACCTTCTCTTGTGCCTTTGGTCCCAACCTTCTCTTGTGCCTTTGGTCCCAACCTTCTCTTGTGCCTTTGGTCCCAACCTTCTCTTGTGCCTTGGTCCAACCTTCTCTTGTGCCTTTGGTCCCAACCTTCTCTTGTGCCTTTGGTCCCAACCTTCTCTTGTGCCTTTGGTCCCAACCTTCTCTTGTGCCTTTGGTCCCAACCTTCTCTTGTGCCTTTGGTCCCAACCTTCTCTTGTGCCTTTGGTCCCAACCTTCTCTTGTGCCTTTGGTCCCAACCTTCTTCTCTCACCCCCCACCATGTCCTTTTGCATGGCTCTGCTGACGTGGCATGTGCTGAATGCATTGAACCGAGTCAGAGTGTGGCCGTGTCGCCATTCATCCTCAACTACAGCGGGGCGCTCTTCAGAATGTACCCAGGTGTGCTCCCATGCCATGCCAAGCCATCCCTCCCATGCCATGCCATGCCATGCCATGCCATCCCTCCCATGCCATGCCATGCCATGCCATGCCATGCCATGCCATGCCATCCCTCCCATGCCATGCCATGCCATGCCATCCCTCCCATGCCATGCCATGCCATGCCATGCCCACTGCACCGTAGCCCACCTGCCTGCACCATGGGCCATCTATCAGCAATGACACTAGCCGTGTGCTTGCTGCAATTCTGTGTCTGTGTGTGTTGTTGTGTTGTGTATTCCATGTGTATCTGCCTAGGAGTGTAACGTGTGATGATGCAGTTTCTTTCCTGCATCCTCACGCGCGCCTCCCCCCGGGCATGGGGCAGGGCCATGGCAGGTGATGGGGAAGCAGGAGGGCACGGGGTCGTACGTCTGTGTGGCGGAGGGGGCCACAGCGCTTCCAACTCGGACAGGTCCGCCCCTTGCCTTTCCCCCCATGCTTTTCCCCCATGCCTTCCCCCAATGCCTTACCCCATGCCTTCCCTCCATGCCTTCGCCCCTATGCCTTCCCCCCATGCCTTCGCCCCTATGCCTCCCCCCCATGCCTTCTCCCCATGACTTCCCCCCATGACTTCCCCCCATGCCTTCCCCCATGCCTTCCTCCCATGCCTTCCCCCCATGCCTTCCCCCCATGCCTTCCCCCCATGCCTTCCCCCCATGCCTTCCCTCCATGCCCCCCTGCTCCGCTGTCCCCCCTTCCCCCGTGACTCTGCGCCGCAACCGTCTCTGCCCGTCTGCCCCTGTGCCCCTGTGCCCGTGTGCCCGTGTGCCACATGTGCTTGCGGGGGCGGCAGGTGAAGGAGGAGCTGCAGCGTGCGCTGGGGCTGGGCGAGGAGGATGGCTCCACCATGCAGTTCCTGCGCCGCGGCTACAAGGTCACACCGGGGGGGGGGGGGGGGGGAGGGGGGGGGAGGGGGGGGGGGGTTGCATCGAGCAAGGTGTGAGGGCGGGGGAAGCGGAGTGGGGGGGGGTAGCAAGGCGAGGGAGAGGGGAAGTGGTGCAGAGACGCCCGGAGAGAAGCAGTGGGTGAGTGCAGGGCATGGGCGGGAGGGGCGGGCTAGGGCGATGCTGTGGCTGTGTGGGGGCAGGATGCCAGTAGGCAGGGGGGAGGGCCTGACTGTTGTGGCATGCGGTGAGGTGGGGCGAGCATGTGGGGGGAAGTGGGGCGAGCATGTGGGTGGAAGCGGGGCGAGCAGGTGGGTGGAAGTGGGATTCGCTTCCAGTGACCTCCCTCCCTGCTCCTCTGCTTAGTTCGGAAAGACGCAGCTAGGACGCTGCGTCCTGCGTCCGGACGCAGCGTCCGGACGCTAGGACGCAGGACGCGCGTCCAGACGCAGGACGCACGTCGAAGTTTTTTTCGGGCAGCCCGAAAAAAAAAATCGATTGCGATTTTGGCATTCGCGATTTCGACGCGAATGTCGAAATCGCGAAATTTCCCCACCCCAAGCCCAATTCGCCATTCAAAACCAGCCCCCCATTTTCCCCTCACCAATTCTCTTTCGTAAACCCATGAGGTTTTAGGTCTTAGCTTAGCTTACCACCTAAACTCCGCTATGGCTTCCTCGAGCATGATGATGGGGATGCGTGATGGTTGACTTGATGCAGTGCAGTGGTAGTTTAGTATGCATGGTCGTAAATGGTTGGATTAAACGTAATGTGTGTGTGTGAGACCTTGTGAAATGTGTGACACGTGACTCACCTTAATCTCAAATTTTGGGGGAAAATTTTGTGGTTGGGGAAAATTTTGTGGTATGACCCCCCCCCCCCCCCCCCCCCCCCCCCCCCACTCTCCCAAGCCCTATACAATTTTTTTGGCCTGCCCGGGGATTTTTTTGCCCTGCCCGGGCTTGCGTCTTTTGGTGCGTCTTACAGGTCAAGGGTCAGCGTCCTGCGTCTGGACGCGTGCGTCCAGGACGCAGGACGCGTCTTTCTGAACTAAGCTCCTCTGCCCTCACTGCCACCGCCCTCTGGATAGTGGTGTGCCTTGTCGTGTGGCTCTCATCTCATGCTGTGCCTGTGTGTGTGCAGACCAACACGTGGTGGGAAGAGCAGTCAGAGCAAGAGCAGTCAACGGAATGGAGAAGCTGAAGGATGGCTGTATAGAGGGGATAAAGAGTACAGCGCAAGAAAAGCTACAAGAGGATGCAGGTACAATTGCAGGACACTATTGTACCAACAAGACATCTACCATTAGAAGAATCTGCTCCACCTCCACACTGACTTGTACCCGTATCCCTTTCTCTCAATCAGCAATTTAATAAAATACTAAGCCGACCAGCAGCCCCTGTACGACAAAGTCACACTCACACAAATTGAATGACAGGTTTAATTGGGTACGGTAGCAGTTTTGTACTCATGTTCGTTTATGACACACTCAGCACAATCAGGTCAATCGGAGTTGCATGTTTGCACGATGAAGATTCCCCAACCATGATCAACCTGCTTAGGGTGCGTCAGATCCGTTGGCCGGATCAATCCGGCCGGCCGGATCTAGCGAAGGTTACGCATTCACGACATTTGTAAGGTATTTCGTCAATTTCGCACAATCCGGCCACTTGCTAAAAAATTGATGGCCGCTTTGATGGCCGGTTTAGCGGTCGACAACTTTCCGACGTGCAAACGAATCACGAGTCGACCACATTGTCGACTCGTGAGCGATACAGTACCTGTGCGACTTGGCCAACATACCCAAGTGACTCAACGTGTCACAAGGACGACTCGCACGGCGCTTTCAGCCCCGTTGAACATGACCACTTTTCGGGGTCACACTTGTGTAGTGCGAAACGTGCAATTTTACGCAAGACCAATCTGCGCCTCGCCACCTCGTTTTGACTGCGGAACATTGTTCTACTCCCTCACGGGGTCACACATGACGATCATTGCCAAACTCACCCAGGCAAAACCAGATTATGGCTTACAGGGATAGCAACGACATGAACACACATTCTAGCGACAATGGCGGCACCCCAGGCACTCGCCCAGATACACAACAGTCTACCAACGCTCCTCAGGCTCCACCCATCAGAACTGTCGGGGAGTCTTCCCGTGTGCACATTAACCCGTGGGAGCGTAATCCAGACTGGTGGATTAACAACCTACCCCGCCCAGACTCGCCTTACGGTATCAACGATGACTACGGGGTAGGCGAGGAGGCCCCCGAAATATGCTCCGCCAATGACGACGAGGAGCTTGACCTAAACATAGGACGTACTAACACAGAGTCAGCGACGGCGACTACATCTACCGCTACCCGGACCACTTTGCCTAGATGGACCAAAGAAGAGGATTTTCTGTTGATGCAGGAGCGTCACGACATGCACGATGACTGGAATAACATGCGCGGAATGCAAGGCCAGAGCCAGCACGCCAAGCTGCATCGCAACCTGCTCGCCCGTAATCCGAGGTGGCGCCACACGGTCTCCGCTCTCCGACCGAAGCTCCGCCGCATGGAAGCCACATGGCTTCGATGGATCAAGTTCTTGGAGCGCTCTGGCAAGGGTCGTGCGGATGGATGTCCGGCGTGGTATGATCTGGCCGACGCGATATTCCAACCGCGGGAATCTTTGAATCCAGAGACTACTGTGGAAAGCACCCCAACTGCAACGACGGCCAACACCGTGCCATTTACGGCGAATGGCGGGCACACAACAGCCGGGATCAACGAGGCGCCCGACTCTATCGCCGATAGCGTGGTGCCACCGTCGACTGGTCCAGGGTATGCTGTGCAACATGGCGGAACCCCGACCGCATTTGCATCAGTCGCATCCGGGTCTAGTGTACGCTCTGGTAAGCTTTCTGGGTTTTAAATGGTTGTGCTTTGATATTACACGTTAACCTGTTCAACTCCATTACAACATGAATTTCATCTCAACTATTACGCCGTCACTTTTTCTTCTAACCCCTGTACCTGCAACAGTGCAGGCTACTGAACCAGCCGTCGCCCCGCCGGTCGCCAATCCCCTCGTCACTTCGCCTTCACGGTCGACGGGCCCTGAACCAGCCCGCCCCGCGGCGTCAACGCCGACTCCGCCTCGTCAGCAAGCCTTGCCACGCGCGCGCGCGCAGGCGCTCTATCCCTCGGTGCTCAGCCGGGTGGATCTCTCCGCAGTGGACGCACCACGGCGAGGGCGCGTGTGACGTCTGCGGTTGGGATGTGGGGGGGTGAACACGATGGTGAGTATAGTGGGCGACCGGGACGACGTAAGGGCAAGGAGAAGATGATGTACGATATGTGTGGCTTCATGACGAAGGAGTTAACGAACGCCATCCAAACGACAATGACCCAGTTTTTTGAACGCACCCGAGAAGAGGACGAGAGAGCCCGGGATGCCCGAGACGCCAAGAGGCATAAAGGAAAGCAGAAAAGCGATTCCGCCTCAAAGTCGGAGTGAATCCGGCGATTTCGATGCCGTGATGTGCAAGGCTGGCGGCCGGCCCTTGAAGCCACCATCTATTTCTCGGGTACGGCATCTCCATTCGGTATCTTGTGCCAAGCACCATTACTATGTTATGCAGGGTTACCACAGCCGCCACGGTGGCCGGCACATGGCGACGGTGGCATTCCATTCTGGCGTCTAGGATACGCCATTTTGTCTTTAAGCGCCCGTTGACTTGCTCAACTATCATGCGCGCCCGCGACTGCTGCTTGTTCCACACGGCTTGCGCGTCCGGCAGTAGCTGGCCTGGGGTGGCTCGGAAAGGCACGTAGATGTAGTTTTTGAGGCCGTATGCCGCATCGCTGACGATGCAGTAGTTGCCAATCCCTCCGCAGTCTATCATTTGTTTAGCTTTGGAATTAGTGAAAACCTTGGAATCATTGCACGAACCCGGCCAGCTAGCCAACATGCTCCAAACAAGGCCGTTGGCGTCGACGAGTAGTTGAAGGATAATGCTGAAGAAGCCTTTCCGGTTCTTAAAATCCTCCGCATGTGGTCCGGAACCGCGGGTGTGTATGTATGTGCCGTCCATAGCACCCACAATCCCTGGGATCCCACTGTCCCATTTGAAATCTGCTTCAGAGGCAGCAAGTTCGTCTATGTCAGGCCATAAAATCCATTCGGCCATGAGGACGTCTTCATTGAATCGAACCCAGGCCTTCACAATCGTGTGGGCATGCGCGTGTGAGAAGCCAAAAAGCAAGCCCAGCTGACGAAATGTCATCCCGCTTCCAAAGCGAAGGAGCACAAGAGCTACTTGGAGAGCCACCTTGCATGCATGTTTGCCAGTGCTGATAAGGTGTTCAGACCACACGCGGCAGAGGTAACCGAATACGTCATGATCAACTCGCAGTGTTTTTGTATAGGTGGTCTGGGGACATGTGCAAGAAGCGCTCCATCCAACGCGCTCGTTGAATACTTCGGTCATTTCGCCAGAACACTTGGTAATCGCTCTCGTCAGCAAAGTCAAGGAGCAAGGGCACCATGACACCGACTGCAGCGACCAAGGGGATGAGCACAACGTGCGTGAGGCCAATTGCTAAACGTCGTGCCCATCTGGGTGTGAAAGGATCCGCCATGTTGGATAATGGATAGAGTGTACGACGTTCGGGTTTTTGTATGCTCTCGTCACACTCAGTTCGGGTAGACGACACGATCTCGCCGAGCCGGGTTGTAAATGGAGCCGCACCTCACATCTTGACTCTCTGATCGTGGTGCGCACAATAGCGGTTGTGTCACTTCAGTAACAATACGTGCGATACCGTCGCACAATCCGGCCAACTTTGCGACCTGCAAATCCGACACCGGATCAATCCGGCCTGTAAATCGGTGTCAGAATGAGAACTACAGCGGAATGCGTTGTATTGACAGAATTGGGGTACATCACCTAACCCTAACTAGTTGTACCCCATATAGCCCAACCCACTACAGGCTATAATATTTGACACACCCCCATAGCCTAAGTGGGGAAGGCCAATCAACAACAAGCAACCTACGGTCACAAGACCAGTCAAAAAACAAGAGAAAGAAAACAAAGCTCAGGGTGGATCACAACGTCACCACCTAATCTGAGCACAAGCAAAGGGCCACAAGGCCAGTCCAAAAGTGTGCAAACAAATATATATATATATATAAGGTACAAGCAAGCAACAGACAAAGAGCACCCTACAGCAGTCAACTAGACCCAGTCTCAACGAGGCCTAACTGCAGACAAAAACCGACGGTGGTCACAAGGCT